TGCTTTGAGCATCTGCAAAATCTTTAAGGGTCAGTTTCTACATTCTGCGTATCATTTATATATGTTTATTACTGACTAATCAGTACGGGATTCTTTATCAATTTCTAAGGGTCTTTCTTCATGAGGGGTTTTGTCTGCTGCTTTACTGAGGCTTCTCCCATTTTCACTATGACAGAAAAAATGTATTTTTCCCACAGTGTCGTATCTTTCTTAGGGATAAGCAAGGAATCCGTTTTCGGGGTGGGAACCCATTGGATTTCCTAGGCTTGGCTCCCTGGCCTCCAGTCTGCTTTCCTGCAGTTGAGTCCGAGCTCCTGGTGAGCACACCCATGGATTGTGCCGCACTAACCAGGAATCCAGCCCTGCATAACCTCTGTGCAAGCAGCTTCCTTCCTCTGCATCATGTGCTTGTGCTGCATCTCTCATGGAAGAAGGTTGCCAGGTCTCGGCATCCTCTCTGCTTGGCTCTTTCTCAGCAAGGGATGGGTGTGAGAGGAGGTTGTGAATGCTAAAGGGATGGATTCCGAGGAGCTTCAAGGCATCCCTCATTTCTCTGCCCCGCTATGCGTCCTTTTAACCAGCTGCAACGTGATGCTGCGGTCCAGCGGCTCTGGAGTGGCTTTAGAACTTCTTAGAAGCTTTTCTCCTGGTGTGTCACCATGTAAAATGGAAGACCAGACTTTCCTCACTCTTAAAAAAACTGCTAAGAAGCTGTTGAAACACTGCAGAGGCTCTGGAGGACATTGATGTCCCGAAAAAGCCCCACAAAGTTCTGTGAGCAAGGGATCACGAGGGCCCAATAAGTGCCTTGTGTAGAGAAGTCCTCATACTTTTCGTACCTGATACCTTCCAGGACACAGGATCAAGGCACCTTATTATAACTGGGCCCATCATGCAACCTAATTGGGCAGCAGTAGTAAACAGGGAGGCCTAATGAGGCACCTAATCAACATCATGGAGAGCCCAGTTCAGCAAAGGTGGCGCTAATGAACCTGCTACTCACGCATTTGTGATGGGGGGTTTGCTACCCTACAGGATCTCTAATTAGTGTGGGTTACCTATGTCCTACCTGGGCAGTGATATTTCAAAACTGGTATTCAAATAAAAATAAATTCAGTGGCAGAGAGAAGTCTGATTACTTGATTAGAAGGCAAGCATGTTTAGAACGAAAAGTGCAGGCTGCGGATGTCAGGGGAGTTCAGAACTGGAGCGGCTGCCTCTCTGTTAGGACCAAAACAGGCAAAAGCCATGCTAAGGGTTCAGCCCTTTGCACAGGAAGCAAAGAGTGAATTGCCACTCGGTTGAAACTATCAGTTTCATGAGGCTATTCTGCTCTGGAGAAAAAAAGCAAACTTTTCACAGTGAGGTTGCCCAGAACCCAGCAAACGTGGAGGATTCGGGGCACCCTAGGCATGCTGGGAGGAGCACAAAGGCAAAGGGCACCCCCACACTCCTCCTGCCATGCCAAACATTTAGGCAGCTGATTTTGGCTAAGGGTTTGGAATGGGTGGGAAGGATGGTGAGTCACTGCAGGAGGTTTCGTTGGATGGCAGGGCTACCTGTGCCCCTCCGCCCACACTCTGCCCCCCAAAGCCCACCTGCTAGCTCACCTGTGCCATCGCCAAGCTGCAACCAGCATGCTTCTTCCCACGTTGGGGGTGCAGTGAGGGGAGAGCAGTCAGGATTCGGAGTCCCAGCTCTGACCGCGGAGCAAGTTTCCAACATGGGAGCCAGGACTCTGAAAACGCTATGGCTGTCTAGACTATCTGGAAGTCACAGGACTGCACCGCCCATCTTTGTTTCCTTCTTCTGCTGACCTGGTGACATTTGGACCTGCAACTTATGTTCTTCTGCATGCACAGATCTTTCCCATCCTTTCTTTGCTACACACTCTCTTGGCCTCCTTCCCTGGGATCCCTCTGCTCCTTCTGGTGCTCTCCAGAAGTTTTGAGTGATAAGCCCCCATAATCCTTTCTGGCTGGGGTGGGAGTGGTAATCTACAGATCTAGGTGCCTACCCCTTACCTTCCCTCATCTTGGCTTAACCTACCAGCCTTCATCCCAAGTCAGAATGGCCACAAGGAGCAAGCCCAGGAAGGATAAATGATAAATATGCCAATCAGAAACTCTCCTAGCGACTGGTTGCGTGCCCTGCAATAGAAGGCATGTTGGAGATGTGCTTCAGATGTGCTTCACAGCTGCTCCTCTATGAGTTATCCCTCAGCAACCAGGACCTGCAGCTGGATCTAAACCAACATTGCACAAAATACATTTTCTGAGCTGATTTTCTGAAGTGCTTTCTCTCACACCTTCATAGAAAAATGTGGGCCTTTTTGAAGAGAAAATGGCCTACCCAAAAAGGATGGCGAAAGAGGTCACCATTTTGTATAACATTTTAATGTGCCCATGTATATCTGTGCATGCAAATTCAGCAACACTATTGTGACTTACTCAGAAAAGCAGCTCAGTATGGTAGACCTGACTGTGAGCAGGTACCCATGTGCCTCCTTCAGTGAGCAGGTGCTGTCCTAGAAAGACACCCTATGTTGGCCAAGGGACACATCGCTGCCTCCCATCACCTCACTGCTCTCCCAGTGCAGTGCTCACAGTGTCCATAGCAGGGATGCAGAACCTCAGAAGCAGCGTGTGCTGTGCCGAAGCTCTCATATGAACTTATCCAGCCCCTTAGAATAGCCTCTGGGGCCCTTTGAAGGGAGGCCCCTCCTCAGGAAATAAGAGGGAGACAACAAGAAAAAGGGCCTTTTCAGGAGCGGCACCCTGATTTTGGAATGAGCTCCTTTATATTCTTTTCAGAGCCAGGAAAATACTTTTTTTTTTTGCTGGTATTTAAATTGTTAATTTGTTTAAATGCTGCATATTTTCGTGTCCTATGCTTTTTACGCTGGTTCTGTTAAGATGCATTAGGGAGCTATATATCTGAATAAGTGTTGTAAAGGTTTTATATTGTTTTTACATGCTTTTATTGCCTGCAACCCACCCAGGGAGCTGTGTGGCTGATGGGGCAGGCTAGAAATCAATCAATAAATACATAAATAAATAAATGTTTCTTAAATATATGTTCGATCTTGCTGGTAGGCGGACAGCCTCTTTTCCAATACAACTGGTACTGTCAGGGAAAACATTTTTGAATGAAATAATCTTCATCTTATTGCAATAAAAATAAAAAATCCAGCAGCATTTTCAAGATTCCCAAATTAATAGTGGCATGAACAATGGACTAGAACTCACTGCATTGAATGCAGAAACATGTGTCATTTGTTGCCAGGTGTCTATACATGCAGGTTGCTTTGGTGAGGGGATTGGACCGAAAGCTCAGTGGGGACAAAAGAGGCAGCAGTAAGTCTGTCTCATTTCAGTGCATATTCCCAAAGGCACCCCCAATATAGAGAGGCCCATTCCCACCAATTAGCACTGGCAATAGTCTTATTTTCTTGCCATGCTAACTTTGCAGCTGAAGAAGGTCCATGACATTCTGCAGTGGGAAAGATAACCCAGGCAAGACTGGGCTTGAACACAGTCAGTTCAGATTGCTAATTAAGTCTCCCTTGCCGGCTTTGCACCAGAGTGTTTGAGCAGAGCAGCAGTGCCCTAGGAACCCAAAATGTTTTCTCACTCGTTTTGGAATCTTGGAAATTTATATTGTGCTTTTCTGTCGGTTTGGAAGAGAAAGATGTTCTGAACAGCAGTCCTGCAGACTCTCACAGGATAAGCTGTGTGTGTGTGTGTGTGTGTGTGTGTGTGTGTGTGTGTGTGTGAGAGAGAGAGAGAGAGAGAGAGAGAGAGAGAGAGAGAGAGAGAGAGAGACTTTCCTCTGGTAAGGAAGAAACTCAGTGTTGACTCAACCCATCGGAGCACCAAGCAGAATGTTTTGCTGAAAGCATTGCTGAAGAGTTGTGCAATGACTGTCTCTTTCTATAGACCCACTTGAGTGAAAAAAGAAAAGAAGAAATATCCGGTAATGATTCACAAATGACCCATAGAACTAAAGCCAGGAAGACCAGTGACCTACCTGTCATCTTCTAGCATTCTACCAACAAGCTTAAAAGCCCCGGTAAGGAATAGCGTTAAACCACAAAACTGCTCACACAAAGAAAAGGACTCAGGTTTGAAGGAGAAAAGTGCATCTCTTGAAAGGTAAGCACAATTCTCTTCTGCATCAACCTTTTATAATAATCAATCCATATTGAAGAAGAAGTTAAGAATGTCACAGAAATTAGAAAGTCTATCTTCCATCCACATGTGGAGGAAACACATATTTTTCTTTAACTTGCTACTAAATCAAGGAGGAAAGAATGATATTTGTTTTCTGTATCTTCCTAGTTGAGTATTTTGGTGAAAAGGCGAAAACCAGAAGAATCACTGGGAAAACACTGGAGGGATCTAAGTGGAAAACAATGATCCACCATCAAATTCAGTAAATGAGGCAGGGCAAGTACGCAGGCAAAGCCTTGTCTGGAAGCCCCCTAAGGCAGTGTGCAACAAGCAAGTTAAAAACAACCTTGGGCTTTAAAAAATTGAGAAGTCATAGGATTGATTTTGTTTCACTGGCTTTTCCAGACATAGGTCTTTGAAAACAATTGTCAAATAGACAGTAGTGAGTTGCTGTCTTGATGTGCATCTTGGTATCATGCATACTATTTCAGTTCTCTGGGGGAGAAACCCATAATGTCTGAATGAGTTTATGACCGTGAAGGCAGTTCCACTGGATTCAACAGGCATGAAATCATCTTCACACCAACTACTTTGCTTTATCTGGTAAAGCAGTTGGTATGTGTGGATTGTGTTGAATAGGATAGTGTTCAAAATTAGAAGTATAACCTGGAGGTTTGCAACCTGCTGTCAGATTCTAATGTTTCAATCTTTCCTCTCCAATAAATAAACCCTGGAAAAAAATCTCATATAATCTCCAAAACTGTTAGGAAAGTTTAATTTTAAATCTTCTGGTTTGATTTCTTGTATCCTTATTGCTTAGACGAGCAGATGCAGGACACACGATGGCTTTGTATTTGTGGGCTGATCATAGCAGCTTTACTCCCTGTTAGCTGGCAAATGATCCTGAAAGATTCAACTAATGAGTCCAGGTAAGAAGCAGCATTGGAGATTGATAAACGTGACACTGTTGAGCTGGGATGGGGAGGCGAGATTACAGGGATCAAGATGCTCAGTGAAATTCTATAGGCAGTAAATCTAATTTGATTCTTAGAAATGTGGGATCTTTTTCCACTCCTTTAGCAGAGGCAATTTTATATATGTAAATGACAGAGGGAGATGGCCCAGAGAAACCATCCAGAATTATGCCACCTGAAGTATGTATTAATGTAACAAAAATATATTAGATTTTTTAAACTCAAAAATTATGAAAAGTGGTGTTATACAAGTGCAAAATTTTACAAGATTGTGCCTACTTAGATTATCTAAAACCCCTGTTTCACAGGGCATGACTTGGAAAGGGAAGGCACCCGAGATCCGACTTCTGCTCCCTGTTTCCATCCCAACTTATATACAGCTCCTGTGAACAGATTCTTGGCACACAGACACACTGTGTCTACAATTGCATGCACTCTGTACATCGTTTGGGTCTTTACAAGAAAGCAACATTTCTCCCTATGCTTCTTTTACAACTCTATTTTATAGTTTCACTGATGGTATAGAAAAAGAATTTCCTGCCTCTTTGGGGCATCAGATAGGAAGAGGCATATTACATATTGGAGAAATAATTAAGTCATCTTATACCTTTTTCTGTGCCTTTGACACTGGAGTAAACAATGCTGGCCAGTCTCAGAAACATGCCACCAATTTGACTTCAAGATGTTGTGGATGGATGTTGGTTTAAAAAGCCCTCGCTGCAGTGGAACGGATGTAATTCTCTCCCTCTCTGATTTCTTAATCAGGTGGCAATCTTATGAAACAGAAAGTGCACATAGTTTTACCTCCAACGTCAAGCGGCATTCTGAAGGTACCTTTACGAGTGATTTTAGCCAGCGCTTGGACAAGATGAAGGCGAAGGATTTCGTGCACTGGCTCATCAACACCAAGCGTTACAGGTAAGATGAGGAGCTGGGTGTCTCTTTCACTAGGTTGTGAATTCATCTTCCAGCCAGAGCCAGAGCCAGAGTAAATAACGTAGCCCATTACAAAGATGCCCCATGCAATTGATGTCATGCCCAGAGTTGTCAGTTGCTGCTTGGAAACAAGGCACACACTCTCCATAGGCCCCACTTTCCTGCAAAATACCCACAAAGTTAGCTGCTTGACTGGTGTCTTCAGGGTGTGGTGGGGGGAGCATGCAGCTTCCTGTGGGTTGCAGGGGGGATTATTTTCCCAAGCCCCAGAAACTGTGCAGAATAGAAAGATGCCCTGAATCTTCACCACTTTTCCCTTCATTGCCTGGCTCTAACTCAGCAAGATTTTGCCATTTCCTCTCCAGGGGACTCTGCAAACCCCAGGAACAGCCTGAGGGTGGCCTGCTCACCAGGGGAGACTTTTTTGCCAGATGGCACAAATGCCTGCAGCAGAATCAAGGCTTGGATGGCCATGTATACCTTGCCAAAAGAAAAGGCCAAAGAGGGCACTGTGATTTGAATACAGATGTGCTTCAGTGCCAGTGCAGAATAAAACGCTGTCGCTGAACCTCTGGGAGACGCGCTCAGGGTTGGCGGTGCCCACAGAGTCTGCTGCCCAGGCCTTGCTGTGGATGAGCAGCATCCGGGTCTCTGCACTTCCCTCTTAGGGTCCTATACCTTGAAATTGGACTTTGACCCTCGAAAGAGGAGCGTGCCCTGCGGAACAGGACCCATGGCTGCCTGAGCCATGCTTTGGCTGTCTGGGGAGGCATGGCTAGGTGCACTGAGGCTGCGCCCTGGTGCACTCTTACCTGGCAGCAAGTTCAAAGCCGTTTCAGTGGAGAAGGCAATGCTTGTGTGGCACTGCACTGTTGCGGCTGATGTCATAGCCGTTGCCTTGATTTCTCCTAGTCACAGCTCTACAAAGAGGTTCATTAAAGAGAAACCCAGCACCAAGCGCTACCTGCCTGGCTCGTTCTGGTTCAGGTAAGCCTTACTGTGCTTGACAATATGACTGCATCCGCGCTGCTCATGTCCTTGACACCCCAAAGCCATGATTAGCCTCAGCATTCAAGGGTCCATGCTATAGGAAGATGAGGGAGGCTTCTCCATGGAAGCCCCCCTCTCTCTGGGGAGGGGAGCCACTGAGGTGTAGTAGACCAGGCCCGTGAAAGTCAGACTCAGATCCCTGCTCAGCCAGGAAGCTGATTGCAGCCGGTGTGGCTTGTGGTTGGAGTGCTGGACTGGGACTCGGGAGATCCTGGCTCTAGTCCCGACTTGGGCTCGAAGCCCATTGGGTTGACTGCAGGCCAGTCATAGACTCTCTGCATAACCCACCTCACTGGGTTGTTTTTATGTGGATGAAATGGAGAAGAGGAGAACCTTGTAAGCCACCTTTGGGTGCCTTGCAAGAGGAAGACAGATGGGATATAATACTAATACCCCTGAGCTTAACCTACCACACAGAGTTGCTGTGAAAAAAAAAAAGAAAAACAGGGATGAACACGTACACCCCATGGAACTCCTTGGAGGAATGGCAGGATACAAAGGAAGAGGCGTTCACTTCCTCCGTTGTCTTGTTTTTGACACACAGCCTTGTTGAATGGATTTTGCACTGTCCAGTCCTTCCATCTCCAGTTCAGGGCCCAGTGAATAGCACTGTCCACAAGCAAGTTGCCTGGGTTCTCGGCAATCACAGACACTGCTGAATCCTACGCAATACACCAACACCCACGTGCAGTCAGGGAAGGGTAACTGCCCATTTTGGTGTCTCTCAGGCGCACATTTTTCCAACTCTTCTCAAATTCCATTCATCCCAAATTTTGAATTTTTTTTAAAGTTTGCATAAAAAATCATATGCATTGTGAAATATGTTTCCTTTTACGCATGCATTTTTGTATGACATTTCTCCTAATAGACATACCTTTGCAAGCAGCTTTCCTAATATAACGCATGTTACTGTTATTTCACAAATATCTATATTTTTGTGCATTTCTGAACACATTTTCTTGGATTTTGCACTTTTGGATACTATACTTTGGATCAGAGAAATGCACTGAAAGCTTTGTAGAATTTTAGAACTCAAAATTTAAGAAAAAAATTTTCCCACCTCCCAATGATCAACCCTAGTAAATACACACTGCAGAGGGTGATACAGAGAAGAATGTGGAGGGAATGCATACAAAAATGCATGCATTTTCAAAAAATATGTGCTGGAAAAGGCACTTATGTAAAAAATGTGTATCTTTGCAAAAATGTGCAAAGATTCTGCATTCAGTGTAGAAAAAAAGCCTGTATTTGCAATTGTGATCTTAGAGATGCATATGTTGAAAAATACAGAATAGATGTTTTAAAATGCACATGAATATGTGTGCCAATAATAGTAATAATTTCCAATTGGATGCAGATTTGGGATGCAATGAATTTAGCATTGGAAGAAATGGGAACCTGAGCAAAATGAGACTTGACAGTTTTGACTCTCCCTTAATTTGGGTAGGGAGGGGAGTACCTTCTGAGGAGTACCTTCAAAGGCATCTGAAATGAGACCACTCTGGCAACATGGAGCCAAGTGGCCTTGGGCAGGCTGTCCTCACTCTTTCTCTAACGCAGCCTGGTGGATAATAATTTCCCTTAATGGTTAACATCTGATGATGTCCACCAACCAAAGGGTCTCAGAAGGCGGCCATTCCCTTAGAAGACCCAGCCACTTCCTACTGGGTACCTCCTTTCCTTCCAGTCTAAACTGAATTTTATATTGTTATATTGCGACTTCTTTTATATTGTTATTTATTTTATATTGCTAATTTTATATTGTTATTTTTGTATTTTATTGTATTTTATTTTGTGTTGTGAGCCGCCCCGAGGCTTCGGCAAGGGGTGGCATAGAAATGTTTTAATAAATAAATAAATAAGTAAGTAAATTAACCTTTTTATTTCTTGATCTGTTAATTTTACAGATATGATTAGGAGGGAAACACAGGAGCCACCATTTCCCTGCTTTTTTTACCTAACCACATCCAGCACTGGAATCTTTTCTTCCAAATGGTCTGACATTGCTCCTTTGTGCCTCATCCTTTCCAAGCCAGTGACCTACAGATGCTTCTGTCTCTTGCTGTTTAAGTGTGTCTACAATAAATAATGTCACATTAAAAGTAATATATTTCAGCCTTTGTGTCATTCCCCCCCTCCCCACGCATGTATTTCATGGAAGGATTCAATGTTAAGAGGAGTGGGAGAAGGAAAGAGATGTTAGGGGCAAAACACATCATTGGAATGAAATGCTTCTCAATGTGATAAGATCTGAAAACAGCAGAACAACAGCTGCTTTCAACAGTGTATCCCTTGGCAGGAAAAAAGGAAGATGAATGCAAGTTTGCAGAAAGAGTTTCAGTGATTGCTGATGTCCCATCTTGTTGCCAGAAGGCCGTAGAACATAGCATGCAATATATTTGGTACTCAAAATCTACCTCTGGCAGATCCAGAGTTGTAGATTCCCATGCTAGATGGATGGACAGTCTTAATCTGGACTTTCGCAATGAGTGGCTGGTGTGTTTGAGACCAGAAGACATGATAAAAATGCTGAGAGGGATAGAGGAGAGATGCCCCACAACATTTCTTGACTGCCACCGATACCGTGATGGCATGTATTACCTTTCACTGTATGTATTTCAGCGTTGATGAGAAGGGCCGGTCAAAGCATTCTAGATCCCGGACTCATGGGCAGCACAGTCTGAAACTTGAATAGCCCAAAGAGTGCGACATGGGGGACTTACTAAGAGGGCAGCTCAGTTATGTTTAGATCCTGCCTTGAGGCAACAAACTTAAGGAGGCTCACAGCATGAAACAAAAACTCAGAAAGCAACAGACATGACAGAAAAACAGAAAAAAAGGAAGAAAAAGGGAGATTGCATAGCTCAGCAACTTTGTAGGATTGTTCTGCGAGAGAACTGGCCAGTGGGCCTTAGCCTGAGGTAAAGACGTGTGAATCAGCAGCGTGACTTAAAGCTTGAGTCTGTATCAGAGGTTGAGTTTTGTTTTTCTCTTTTGGCATGAAAATTCATGCTTGTGTGTGTGTGTATTTTTCCAGATGTAAACACAAATTGTTGTTATCTTTGAAATGTATGAATCACTTTGCAAACCCAAAACGATATGCACCTCAGCAGAGCAGAAAGTGTGCACTAAATAAATACTGATTGAAGGAGAACAAAGCAAATTGCTCATATATTCCCAGTCCCAACCAGGCCAATCAAGTGGCTTAATCGCTTCCAGTTCTCAGAAAGCCATGTGAATAATAATTGATGGCATCATCATCAATGCAGGATGTGCTTAAAGCATCCAAAGTCTACAAAACCAGCCAAAGCTAGGATTCCACTTTCAAAGTACCATTGGAACATTATGCATTGCCAAGAAACTGCAGTAGCTGCTGAGTCCTGTTTCTCACCATTACAGTCATGGAGGGAGAGAGCCTATGGCCCCAGGCAACATGGGGAAACACGGGGGTTACAGCACTCTTCGGATTCCCAGATCTGAGTGTGAATCAAAGGCAGCAGACCTCAGAGACGAGAGATGTGCTCTGATTTTGCTGCCTCCCTTTGTAGCTGCCGCAGGAAGAAGGAAAAACTCAACCCTGGAGAGGCACTGAAGGGGACATTCCTATGGGTGGGGAAGCAGAGAATGGACTGATGGAGAAAAATGAAACCAGTGGCTACTTCTGTCATCTGATCGGTGCCGAGTGACTCATGATGCAGCTGCCGTCTGGGCACCGATGCTGGTGGTGCCTGCGGAGAGCAAACGCGGGGCAACGTCTCCCTCTTCTGGCAAGCTGTCATCTTGATGCACCAATGAAGATCAAGCACCTTCCCGCTGAGCAAGTCCCATCTATAGAACAACATAGCAACCTTGATTTAAAAATATTCTGAGGATGTGCTCTTTTGCATTTTAATTCCACTTATTCACTCTGACAGGTTGTCCATTTTGCACAGGATTTGGCCTCCAGTCCTTCCTGGAAGAAGGAAAATCACGTATCCTGTGCATATGGAAGACGGCGACCTTGGCTCCTTGTTTACCAATCTGGAAGAGGCTTGCCACAACCAGTGATGCCTGAACTGTGTGCCCTAAGCAGAAGTGGCTTGGCAAACCTCCTGCTCTCATGTGTTGCCTGATATTGCAGGAATTGCCACTGTTATGTATTTCTTTATTAATATTTCATTCCACTTCTGTGCCACCCCAGAACCCAAGGGCTCTCTGGGAGGCTTGCAATTGATGAAAGTGGCATATAAATACAATCAATAAAATGGAGGAAAACAAAATTGGCAAATTATTAAACCATCTCACATAGTAGAAGTAACATAAAGCCATACATAAGATAACAAACCAAGCAATAAATGAACAGCCAAGATTAAGGAAATAATCAATAACAAGTCAGAAGTTGCAGAAGCATGAGAAGAACTTATGATTAGTATTCCTGGGACTTGTGAGTTCTGTCGGCTCCAACCCCTGCCACACGCTCCGTTCATGCAAAGGCACCACAATAGAAGGGAAGGTTCCCTGACGTCTGCAAAAACGTTTTGCCTACCAGGATCGTCCATCCTGACCATCTACCCTTTCACCAGGCACAGATTCAAGGCCCCAGCCTGACCCAGAGTTCAGATCAGATGCACAGTTTTCCAGGACAGCGGGGACCAAGGTCCAATCTGGGCATTCTATCTAAATGAGCCCATTCAATGGTTGTCAATATGGCTGACGCATCTTTAGGCATCCCTCCACCTGCCCAAGCTAGATAAGGGAGATGCTCCAAAAATCACTTTAACCTGCTCCGAATTCAAAAGGAGGCAGCAGACGAGGTGGTGCACGCCTCGGCATCGCAATGACGGCCTGCAGGGGAGAGCGTGTGCTTTTGTGTGCTGCACATGGTCTCGGTCAGTTCATTGCTGCAAGCAGGTGGGGCAGAAGGTGGGCCTCCTTGAGCATGGTTGAAATCCTCCCAGTGGCTGGACAGAAAATGGGCATGTCCCACAATGCTGTGTTGTGGTAAAGCAAAGCATTTGGGGTTGACTTGGATTTGAAAGGCAGCTGAGGCACAAACAGCTCTGCAAACACCTGCAAAAGGATCCATCTCTCTAGGAGGGGGAGGGAAAGGCAGGAAGATCAGCCCAGATGCCCGCCTTTTGGCATGGCTATGCAGGCAGTCCTGATGGGGGCCTGCAAAATTTAGACGCAGTTTCCAAATAGCGAAAGAGGCCTTTGCCCAGACTCAGTGCTCACTGGGTAACTCAGAGACTGTGGTGCAAACAGTGTGATGCTTCCCACACACACTGATGCAGACGTGTGGGAAGCATATGGGTTGAGCTGGTGCTGAGGGGAGTTTCCAAGTCCAGGGCTAATCCAGTTGCAGCCTGGACCTGCTTGGGAGAGGGAAAGTCAGGGGCTGTCTGAAAGGCTTCCCCAGTAGGCCGCTAAGGGCTGGATCCATAGCTGCTGGCTGCACTTCTGGCCTTCCATATGTTGGATGCTAATATGCAGCAAATTTTGGTTGAGTCCTGAGGAGGAGGAAAGCATTGCTCCACTTCAGACTTCCGGTGAGGGATTTACTTTTTGTAATCTTCATCTAGATGAAACCCCCACAAAAGAACAGAACTACCAGACAAGGAACTAGAACTATTCCCGATCTGCAAGATTTCCTTGCAGGGACATTTCTCTAGAATGTGGAGAAGGGAAGCTCAACCCACACCCCGCAATGATATGGGCCAGACACAGAACCTCAAGGCTCCACCATGCTGCAAGCGCAGATGAGGACTTTCTCTGGCTCTGAGCATGACCTTTCATCTGCGCTGGCATTGCCGGAACACAAACAGCACTATTCGTGCCCATTACCACAGACACACCGAACAATATTTTCCAGTTAGTAAAAAACCAGCAAGTTGTCCAGTTCAACATATGTACCACGATTGCAGATCATGGACGGTAATAGTCCAGTCTACTGGAGTCTGAGGAGGAGGAATGGTCTGACTCAACTTGTGGGTTGTGCTGCTCTCTAACAGACAGCAGAAGAATGCACAAGGGTCCCGCTCAGTGCTGTGGGGGTACTAAATTTTTTGATTTAATATTTGCCCATTTCATTGTTTTCATCCAATTTCAGCAATTTCAAGCCTCCCAGAGAGCCCTTGGGTTCTGGGGTGGCACAGAAGTGGAATGAAATATTAATAAAGAGATACATAACAGCAGCAATTCCTGTATTATTATTATTATTAATAATAATAATAATAATAACAACATTAATAATAATAATAATAATATCAGGCAGCACATGACAGCAGGAGGTTTGCCAAGCCACTTCTGCTTGGGGCACACAGTTCAGGCATCTTTGGGCACCTGGCCTGCAATCTGGATTAGGAGCTCTGCCTCACATCGAGAGGTGTGCTCTGTAGGGTTCGATGTCTCACCGGTTGCGGCAAGCCTCTTCCAGGTTGGGAAACAAGGAGCCAAGGTTGCTGTCTTCCGTCTGCACAGGATACATGCAAGTGGAAATCAATGCCTTGTAAATGGGAGCACCAAAGTCACAAGAGGAAATAAAGAGCTCCTGAAAACAGAGCACCTTAAGATTTCCCTTCTTCCAGAGGGGAAGGTACTGGAGCCCAGTTCCTGTGTGAAAAAGAGAACCTGCCAGAGCGAGCAATTAAAGTGGAATTAAAGTGCAAAACAGCACATCTTCACAATATTTTAAATCAAGGTTGGCAACCGCTGCATTTTTGTTCTATCATAGAGACGGGAACCTACCGTAAAGCAAGAGATGCTGGTTTGCAGGGAGGAAGAGAAATGACATTTCTGTGCCTTGCAGCCGAAGTAATATACCCAGCCAGCTGCCCTCCATAAGATCAGTAAACCAAGGAGCTAAACTTGCCCAGCTGCACCACTGCTCCTCTGCAGCCCAGATTTCTGCTGAAAAAAATGCATCTGAAGGTTTGAGAGAGAGAAATCTGCTGTATGATTTGTTTTGCTTTCTAGATGGTAGGGAAAGATATGTGCCAGAACACATGAACCATGTCGTTTTGCTTCCTGCTGGAGAGCAGCCACTGGGGGAGGTAGACCATGCCACACAGCTATGGGGGGAGCAGACCTCCTACTTCAACTCAGAGCTCCCAGCAGGGCTCCCTTGCACCCCACTCATGGGTTGCTGCCTGCCCACCTGCTGCTCCTCACCAAGTCTCCCCATTCAGGCCCCCCAGACTCTCCCTGTGCTCCAAAAGTGACTCTCTCATCCACTGCATACCTCTGGGCCCCCAGACTCCTGCAGAGAGGAGGGCTCACATCTCACGTCCAGTGGCTTGCAAGCACTCCAAAGGATTTCGCTGTGGCAGGTGCGCACGCCCTTAAAGAGCATCTCACCCACCCACCCTGCTGGCAGGAAGCCCCCCCCCTTATTTCCCAGCTCCATGTTTTGTGCAGCCACCAGCAGATTCCACAGGAGCAGCTCACACATGGCCTCTCCCTCCCCGGGAAGCCCGTGGCAGGCAGGGCGATTCCTCAGGGCGTGGTGGCCAGATCCAGGTGCCCTGCAGTGACACCCTGCACCTTTCTGCTCCAAAGTGTGATCTCGATGGGACTCGCTCAGCAGGAAGGTGCTTGGTCTCCATTGGTGCATCGTGATGACCACCTGCCAGAAGAGGGAGACGTTGCCCTGCGTTTGCTCTCTGCAGGTGCTACCAAGATCGGCGCCCAGAAGGCAGCTGCGTCATGAGTCGCTCCGCACAGATCAGAGCAGCCGGGGTTTTATCAGGCGCTATAAATCTGCAGCTCTATCCTGGATGTTCAGCCTGAGCAATATGGTGGGAAGAAAGGCGATGCTGTTGCTTCTCCCTGTGGTGCAGTTTGTTTGCCTGTGTAAACACCTGCCAATATCTGTGAATTCTGCTGTTGCATCATATGAAAAGACACACTCAGGTGTTTACATGTAATGGCTCTAGAGTGAGATTTCTCATAAAATCTTAATTACTTCAATTGGCCAATAGTTCTCAGAAAGTAGGATCACCAACTATTGGAGTTTCATTGCAAATTACAATGTTGCAACAATACTTTGAAAATGTAACGCTAGGTTTGGTTGGCTTTGTAGACACTTTGCTGATTTAAACACATCATACAGTAATAATTATACTGTTAATGATATGATACACTGGCTGCAATGAAGCGAATCCAGGGTGGTGAAGCCCTTTATTGGCCTGGATGAGACCATTGACCATTTGGTACCTTCTCTCTCAGAACTACTCTGAATTTGCTCTTTCCTTCAAACATTTGTGGTCCTTTAGGGTACAAGAACTGCAATTTTCTTACCAGAACTTTCCTATACTACAACTTTCACTTGATCACCACTGACCAATCTCTTCCTTCACTTCTGTTGTCAATATTAACTCTCTAACCCTTTATTAACATAAATATCTTTTCCAAAGAGGTGGCAAATAAGCATAAGACAAATACCTCAGAGGCGCAAGGAAAGTAAACAAAGCTTAGGTAGGATTGCTGTTACTTTAGCAGTAAACATTTCCATAGTGTTACTTTAAAAGGTGGACTTTTGTATTGCTACCATAACTAACAAGGAGCTGTTAGACACCCCAATTCCTTAACAGAATGTACGTAAATTCCTCTATCAAGCCACTGTGCCAGTTAACTCCAGGCCAACAAGGAGATAGTCTTCCTCCTGGTCTGGCTCGACTTCTGCCTGGAACCTTGAAGGACCTTCCTCTGGCTCCCCCTGAAGTTTCCATTCTGGTCCAGCAACAGCGGTGCCACCAGCTGCCACTCTGGCTTCCACTTTTTCCTCAGAGGGCTGCTCCAGCAGCCTTCCTCTCATCACATGCTGATGTTCCTCAGCGTCTGCCTGGCACATCCTCTCTGCTTGGCTTTCTGGCCTTGCAGCTGCCCTTCTTCCTGGCTGATGCCTTCTTGTCCAGCCTTCTCTCACACTAACCCCACTTGACAACTTTCCCTTGGGCAAAACTGCCCACTCAGAACCCTCCGGCCAAGTCAGTCAGTTTTCGTGCAGCTCACATTCTATCTCCCTGTCTTAACTTAAATATAGCACCAAAGTGCAACTTTGGAGCATC